GTGGGTCTGCCCCCTACCTTGGATATGGTGAAATTACAAGAGTTCATAAAATAGGTTGAAATAGCGGTAGAGTATTGTAAGGACTTCAGGACTCTGACAACGGAGATCGAGCGGCTGTCGTTTGGTGAAAGCTCAACGGTGGCGGTAAGTGGGCCAGGTAGAGGTCTGGAGGCGATCGATCAAGAGTCCAACAATGATAGGTTAGGCAAAAGCCTTATGGCGGCGACTGGGCGGAGATCCAGTGATTGGTGGTCGAGTGGGGGGGGGGGGGGGGGGGGGGGGGTCCAATGGCGATTGGTTTAACATACATTCAGCTATGGAGGCCAGGAGATGTTTTGACCATAATTGGTTGTTCGTAGGCCTGACAGTGCTAGTCCTGCCATTGGCAGTCGAGCGGAGGTTTGATGACTATGGCGGGGCAGAGGTCTGGCAGTCGTGCTGGATGAAGGTCCAACGACAGTGGTCAAGTTGAGGTCCAATGATCAGTGGTGGGCGGAGTTCCAATGAAGGTTGGCCGGGCAGAAGTTTGGTGGCGCTGATTGGCAAGTGAAAGTTTGTTGGCTGTCGTGCACGGTTGGAAGCTCTGGGATTCTTCAAACCTTAGAGCTCTCTTGAATCTCTAGTTAAAGTTCCTCTTCATGTACTGAGTGGGTTTCTATTTATAGATTTTTGGGAGTGACATGCCTTGTAGATGGGGAAAATTCAGAGCACTCTATCAAACTGCGTGTATTGATTTACCCAATCATAGATCATTTTTTAGCATTTAGTTGCCTTTGATGATGTCAGAATTAAGCTATTTGGGGCTCATTAGATTTGTCTCGTCAAGCCACTTGATTTGACAATAAGCATGCCAAATTTGGAGATTGTTTGATCAGTCAACTAATTTTTTGAAGTTTTAAACTATGCTTTAGATCTTTAATTTGGGCCCTTTGGGCTTGGATTAGACCAATTTTGGTGTCGTTTGGTTCATCTCATTGAAATTTTTAATTCGGTTATAAGTTTGCTAAAATCATAATCCAAATGGATCTCAGGTTTAATTTTGGAACTTTCCACTTCAAATATGCATTGAGATTCAAGTTCTCTCACACACACCCCGTGGTTTTTTCTTTTTTACAAGTTTTCCACGTAAAAAATCTTTGGTGCCCCCCAAGTTCTCTCATTTATCTATGATATAAAATGTTATCATCTACCACTGCAAATTTTTTGGCCCGCAATGAGGTTAATTGTCAATTATTTGGCATATAAATTGGCTTTTCTTTTTCTGGAAGGAGTTGAAGATAAAATATGAGAAATTTATTCTAGGTTTTGTGGCAACACTGATGTGAATCAATCATGCTATGAATTACGAATTGCACATAGAAAATTAATAGAAGTATTGATTCAAAACTTGCTACCAAAACTCTTTGCTTAATCAAGTTGAGTTCACGAATTAGATGACGATAAATTAAGTAATGACAAGAAATCAAATTTAGAGATTAGAAGACTTTTCAAAATAACATCAATAATTCAAGTAGTGCAAATGGCTAAGAATAACAAAGCCCCAAATTTAAAATTTAAATCTTTCACCTTAAGATCCGTCACTCATGTTTATAGTGGTGGCTAGCGGAATAGGACCGTAAGTAGGCTTAGCGACGCTACTAGTAGGCAAGTGATCTTGAGAGGACTTGTCGCCGGGGAGGGAGCCGGATTCGGAGGAGTGGGTGGACGGCCTTCAATGATCCACGTGTAGACGGAGAAGTGGTCGTCGATGGACTCCACTAGTGGTGGTAGAATCCGATCCAAGTACTCCTCGACAGTGTCGTCAAAGTCGAAGCCGACGTCAAAGAAAGGTGATCGGAGAATATTGACCCTTCCGCGGTTGTCGTACTCAAACCCGAAGTTCCATTCGGGTTCCTCCATACATTCTTGGCGGCAAGAGTGAGCGGTCGCCGCGAGACGTTCTCAAGTGGAGGAGAGAAGTGGCTCGGGCGTTGGAGGAGAAACGGCCAGGAGTAGGTGGGTTAGAGAGGTTTGGCCAAGGTGGGAATCCAAATAAGGGTGCAGGAATTTCTGCAGGAAATTTAATTTTGGATAGGTTAATGGACTGGATTTAATTTGAAATCCAAATTAAATCAAAGGGGAATTATGGGCGGCCAAGGGAGGGAATTTGGGGGCTTATTTTGTGGGATTAATGAGGTGATTATGACAGAGAAAGGGGCCCAATGAAGGGGCCGGCCATAGAGAGAAAGAGGGAGTTAATTTAGGTGAGTGGGGACCACAAAATCAATTTCTGAATTTAAGCAAAATCTGAAATTAAAATTTCAGTTTTAATAGTAATAGGAGGTTTCTTAATTAAAGCAATTAATTGAATTGGATTTGAATTTCGAATTCAAACTCAATTCTAATTTATTGGATTGCAATAATCAATGGAGCAATTTAGGAAACCTTTAATGGCCATAGAACTCCAAAATTCAGAATTTGAAAATTGATAGAGGAGGGAGAAAAGGAGGCGGCGCAATGTGGGAAGGAGCCGGCGGCTGAGGGTGGGCCGGCGGATGCTGGCCGGAGGAGGGGTCGGCTGGTGGAACTGGGTAGGTCGGCGGGTGGGGTTTGGCAGACCGGCGGGAGGAACCTGCAGGGGAGCGGGCTGGGCTGTGAAGCCGGCGGCCTGGATAGCTCCCAAGGGAGGCGAGGAAAAACTGAAGAAAAACTGCAATTTTCTGTGACTTTGGAACCTCTTACCTCGAGATCTCTTCACTACTCTACTTCCACACAATAAGCTTGGACTAATTCTAGAACTCACTAAGAGATCTAGTTCTCCCTTTGAACTCACTAAGAGATCAAAGGGAAATGCACTCACAAAGAGAACAAGGGGATAATTTTCATTCAACCAAAAACTCAAAACTTACAATGCATCATGCCTCATATAAGGAGGCTCAAATAAAAGAAAATGAAAAGACATAAACGCCCTCTGGGCTACATAAGTAGAACAATGCCTTCAGGGGCAAACTAGGAAAACTAAAGAAGTACACATGACATAAGCAGTAAATAACTCAGAAATAGAGGCTCTGGATCGTAGCCATCTATTTGCGCCGTCGGCGATGGTACACGTGTCGAAATCTGATGTCCCCATCAAACGCACTATAAAATGCCTATGAACAAGACTTGCAATTCTTCAAAATACAAAAATCTCTACAACAAGTCGATGTACAATTTGCTTCCATTGGCTCATCCATGCTTTTATGGATTCCATAAACAAGAGACTTGATAGTTTTTGTATTGACCGTCCACATACTCCACTCACTCCACTCCATCAAGATATTTCTTCTTCCGCCGGCATTCTTGATTCCATCGGCCGAATCTCTTCTCCACAACCACCACCTTTTCCGACAGGTTTCTCTTTGTTTTTTTTTACACATCATCTACCATTATCTAATTATACCTTACTCAAATAATCTCAACATTCGTTTTAGCCACCGCAATGTTTACCTTAACATTTGTCCTTATCATTCTTCACATTTTCGATAAGATGCTAATGGTACTTGGCGTGTTGACATTAACTCTAGAGCCCATAATATACTCAACATTAAAGTAAATTTATTATTCCAATAGTAAATAAAATTTTAGATGAATTATATAGAACTTTTTTTTTCCAAATTTTATTTTTGTTCAGCCTCTTAGGAAGTTAGGATATATTCTAAAATTGTCATAAAATGATTCATGAATATCTTCTTATGCCTTTTTTCCCCTCTTACCTTTTTACAACTTCGAATCAAGTTTTCTTGCATTGGAAATTAAACTTTTGGATGATATCACATTGGAAAATTTTGCAACCCTCTCTTCGCCTTTTCTTTTTCTCAACCTTGAAGATAAGGTCGTTTTCCATGGCGATGGAAGTGTTCTACATCGGCAATATATCTTTAGTTAAATAAAGTACATATTAAATAGGTTTTATATATATATATATATATATATATATATATATATATATTTCTTGTATTTTATTCAGTGCACAGATCCCACCTGCAAGTGATAAAGGACATCTTCCTTCCCATGCATGATATGCATAAATATTGTGTTCATTTGTTTCATAAATTCAGTAAAGATTCATTCATTTTGCATACATTAAGGAACAATTTATTGCTAAGCTCATTGTGCATATATGTAACAAATTGAATATATGGTTATTTGTGTAGATTTGAATTTGTTATGTTTAATACAAGAATAATAACCAAGGCTGATTATTGTATTTCAATAAGGTACATGGAATTCCATTTAATTTGTGGAATATTCTAACGCTTCAATTAATTTCATTTGACCTGTGGACTCAATAAGAGATAGCTTAGGAGATAAATTCTTAGAAAATGAAATTGGCCATTCACATTGTTCATTCATGCATGGCAAGGGGCTTACACATATTTCATGCACTTCTTTATTCATTCGCAGACACAGATTCATTGGTGCACACTGTGGATGTTATAACTTAGGTATCGTTTGTGACGGCTTTCTTACCGCTTCTAAAGCAGCTTTTTCGTACAAAAATTAAAATTTATGTATTTAAAAGCTGCTTGAAGAAATAGTAAGAAAACTATCCCAAATGAAGCCTTTGTCAATTTATGATACTCATGTTTCTTAGACCCGTTCAGTTTGCTGTTCATAAATTAGTTTATATGAACAAGATTATCATGAAGAATTTGTGCCCAAAAATTTCACATTATTATATTGTTATACTGTCGTTTATTTCAATAATAATAATAATAATAATAATTATTATTATTATATAAAATACTGTGGTTTATTTCTTGGATCGAATTGGTGTGTTCTACCGAAGCGAATGTAAGTTTTCCATGCTTCATGGTATTTGACATTGCAAAATATATTTCACCTTGTACAAATTTTGGAATTGATAATATCATATAGAATCAATGAATTCTCTCAAATTATCCATCTTTTGCATTCCTTTCACTGTGCTAAACTGTTATCCTGTAGCTAAATGAACATACCTTTCCTTCATTTTACAGGTTGTTTTATCCAGATATGAACAATCATCCAACATCTTGCTTCAACTACAGAGCATAAATAATACATCACAAGCACTTCCTGAAGAGAAATCTGATGAGGCTTCAGTGCCCATTGCTGATGCTTCTGCTGGCGTCCCTGTAGAAACTTGTCTCATATCGGGTGATTATAAGCAGGAATCAGCACCAGTGAGATACACCCAGCAACAGCAGCCACTCATTCCAGCTGACAACTCTCTCCAGAATGAAGACGAACAGCGAAAAAAGTCCGCCGCCGCCGAGGTAGCGGCGAAGCTCACAGCATCCACATCCTCAGCTCAGATGCTTAGTTATGTCCTCTCTTCCCTTGCTTCAGAAAGTATCATTAGTAATCAATCTCAGAAGGAAGATTATTCTCCTCACAGCAAAAGATCCAAGGTTGAGAATGGTGGCCTTCCCCTATATCTTCCTCCTACTCAGACACAACAATCTCAGCCACCGCCGCCGCCTTTCCCACACCCAGATTCCGTTAACCCGCCGCCGCCGCCACCCCCACCACCATCATCGCCACCAGCAATGCCTTCCATGATGCCTCCATTGATGCCACCCGCTAATGTTTCGCACTTCATACAGGCCGGCGGTCCGATGGCCGCCGTCATCCCATACAACTATGCTTCATCACCATTACAGATTCAGCCATCCCTTCCCCCGCATTTGACCGGCGGCATGCCACTTTACTCCATCCCACCTAACCCTTATCAGGGTTTTCAGCTTCCAGATGGTGTTGGTTCCTTTAGTCTGCAGCCATTGCCATCAACAACACCACCCCCTCTCTCCAGACAATGAAAGGCATTGGATATGGTCATAATTGTTAACTTTTGCAGGCCGACTGGTTTAATATTTGTTCAGTAAGTGTTATTCTTAGTGTTTTGTAAACATGTCAAGGGTAAAATGAGTGTACATGTATATTATTTAGGTCATTTAATAGCCTCTTACATCTGAAGCTTTTAATAGATTATTGAGCTCTGAACTTTGATTCTATGTTGTTGTTGATGTGATTGTAGTTCGAGTTATGTTATTCATATTCAAATAGCATCTCTCTGCAACATTTTGGGCGTTGAATTTCACCAATTTTATGGTTCATATTTAATACATCAATTCAAATAATAATTTAGGCTTCATTTGAGATGGCTTTTTCATTACTTTCTTAAATAATTTTTTAGTATAAAATTTTTAATTCAAAAAAAAATTTTAACTAAAATATTATTTTAGAAAGTATTAAGAAAGCTGTCTCAAATGAGAAATTGTTTTGTACAGATGCTGAATATCATCCAAAAGATCGATCAAAATATGTTACGTCACCCCTTGCTTAGTATTTGGCGCGATATTGCTGACGGTGATATATTCTGATTAGTCTTCGACAATAAATTACATTTGATGTCCGCACAAAATAATTTTTTCAAAACGAACCCTTAAGCTTTGCATGAGGTTATCTCTACACTGAGTCCTTTGTTATATCTCTATTATAAATCGGTAAGAGTAAAATTTTATTTAAATTTAAATAAAAAATATATCATTTCTAATAATTTTTAACCTTTTTCTATTATGCTCCCTTTATTTGTAACTTTTTTATATTAAGAGTCAAATTTTTATTTAAATTTAATACAAAATTATTTTTAATATTTTTTAACATGTTAAATAATCAAATTCTCATTTAAATTTAATAAAAAATTATTTCTACCAATTTTTTTAAATCTACCTTTTAACTTTCTTAATATAGATTAAGGTTTTATTTGAAATAATTTTCTTATTTCTTAAAATAATTTTTTTAATATAAAAATAAAAAAAAAATTTATTAGTAAAAAAGTCATCCCAAACGAACCCTTCGTTTGGGACAGCTTTCTTACTGTTTCTTAAATTAATTTTTTCATGCAAAATTTTTAATTTTTATATTAAAAAATTAGTTTAAGAAGTACTAAGAAAGCCGTCCCAACCAAAACCTAAATTTAATACATTTCTCTAAATTGGAGACTTCTATTTTAAAAGTTCAAATCATGTGACTCTCTAATCTTGTGTCTTATATGTCATTAAAGCTATTCTAATCTTTTTTCATGTATATACTCATTTGCAAGAGATAATTGCTCCAATGGTTACATTTAATAGTTTAATAAACTCTTCTAAGCTTTGAATTTGACTTTGGAAGCTCTTTTTATTAAATATTTTTTAAAAATTAATTTAGATTATAGAATTTATAATATCTAATTGAGGTCATAATTATAAAACACACAATAAATAATAAAGATTTAAATACAGTATTGCATGAGAGTTTCAACAAAATTTCATTCATAATAACTTTATATAAATTTTTAGCATCCAATATTCTCTCATAAATACAAATTACATGAAGTTGATCTAAACATTCTTATATTTGCTTTGAGATCAATGCTATACATATGAAAAAGAAAAATTTATATTGTACTAATCTTAAAGCAAATCTAATGATTTTCAAGCCACTCACCTTGATATTATATTTTTTCTTCATTAATATTTGAAAGTGTCAGGTTATACGGATGAGGAGAACTACCATGATGAACAAACTCAACATGATGAATATGATGAGCCAAGTGAAGCAACTTGTCTTGGAGCTCTCGGAGTATACCTGCACAGCACGAACATTGGCGCGGCCAGTGCTTGCCAGGCTCTGCTCAACAGCCCTCTCAGTGGAGTCCAGTATCTGCTCATACAGACAATATTCAATATCATCAGCACTGACATCAAAAGACTAAGGTGATTTGAGATAACTATGAGGTTAAGCTATTTGAATCCTTGTGGGGATACATTTGGTGATGATTTTGATTTTTTTTTTGGGGCACATATTCATAAACACCCTAAATATTTATAACTCAGCTAATGAGCTTACGAGTTGAGCTTAACGAATTTCGAGTTCAAACTCGAGCTTGTAATCAAGGTCATTTACTAAATGAGCTCGAGTTCGAGCTCAATCCGACTCGACTTGTTAGCTCGTTAAGCTACTCGATTTTAAAATATTTTTTAAAAACTTTTAATATACCATTTTCTTAAAAAAAATTTAATATAACAAAAACTCAAGCTTCATAAACGAGCCAAGTTCGAGCTTTGAGCTGAGCTTGAGTTTCATCTTTATACAACGAGTCGAGTTCGAGCTCAATATGAGCTAAATGAGCTAAACTCGACAATACCACTACTCGACTCGACTCTTACACCCCCTACATATAGCATTACTACAAAACAAACTTATGGAAGGAGAAGGCAATATCGCTAACCAAAACTTTCAGTTAATATGAACAGTAGAGCAGAGAGCATTCATATTTAGGCTTTGTTTGGGGCTTTGTTTGGGACAATTTTCTTTCTGTTTAATGAAACAGTTTCTTAACACAGTTTTTGAATTTGATTTTTTTTACTATAAAGCTGCTTTAGAAAACAGTAAGGAAGCTGTCCCAAACGAATCTTTAGTTTTTTGTTTCTAGTCTGTCATCCAATCAAATTTGCTTGCTCAAGAGCATACAATTAATGATATTGAGGATGAAGACGTCTCAATAATGCTCAATGCTGCTAAGGCTGTTTGAAGCTCACTATCAAAATAACAATCGACAGTCTTAATGAAAACCAAAAAATTATAGAAATCACTTGGAGATGAAAGTTCTGCGGCCTTCTACTAGAAATTAACCATTAAAGGATCATAAAGCCAAGGTGAATTAAACGTCATGAAAACTAGAAAAAAAAAAATCTAGATTTTAATAAATTTGACTAAAGATAATCTCGATTTTTTTAAATTTTATGTATTTACATAAAATAAAATATAAAAAAAAAAAACAAAATGCTAACAAAAAAAATAAATAAATAAAAACAGTTACAATTCAAGACACTAATAAATCCCAACAATAATTTCAACTTAAATTCAAAAGATCTTAACCCAAAGTCCCAATAGCAAGCACAAAGTTTATCAATCTAATTTAAATTCAACCAAATAATAACTACAAGTCTACAACCACAAATGTAACTTTAAATGATAAAACATCTATGACAAATACTGCATGCCCATGCATTACGTCAACTAAGAAGTACATTTATACTATTTTGATTTTATATTTCATATTTAGTTTAAATTAAACAAAATCATGAACTACAAGTAAGAGATGAAACATGCATATACATAGTATTTTTAAATATGACAATTTCAGCTAGTTATAACAACAATCTTTTAATTAATAAAATCTCCATAATTATAGCAAAAGCATAATACAAGTACTCTCTATTACATTTTAATGAGAACTTTTAATTAACTCAAACTATGTATATTTGATGCACACATTATAGCTTAGGCTTCATTTGGGACAGCTTTCTTGTTGCTTATAAAAAGCAGCTTTTTAGTTCAATAATTAAAATTTTTGTACTAGAAAACTGCTTTAAGAAGCAACAAGAAAGCCATGCTAGTTTTTCAGTATAAAAATTAAAATTTTTGCACTAGAAAGCTGCGTCAAAAAGCAGTAAGAAAGCCGTCCCAAATGAAACCTTAGTCTAAAACATAAATCAGCTTACTTGCAAATTCTGTGGATTAGATCAAATGATGCTCAATGTTAATGGCTTGATTAGTGAATGCATGAGGTATGTTCCATCAACAAGGAAAGAATATACTAAAGAGAATCATGATAAGCATTTGGTAAAGCAACGCAGAATGGTGGTAGTAGCTTTCTTTCCTTAATTTTCTGTTTATCTTTCTTTTACTGCGCTCATGCATTGTTTGATGCTTCCATACGTTTCTCTAATTATCCTCGAAGGATTAGCAGTCAGAAATATCGTATATCCAGCATCATCCAAGTAGTCAGACTACGGTTGGTTTTCAATCATTCCAGCTACTTTCTCAATCGTTTTTAGGAGCTCCAAAATTTGCATTAATAATAATAACACCGAATCCCTACTACCCCATGAACATTTTCTAAATGCATATAATAAAATAATGTATCTAGATAACAAATTTTGATATAAGGAATTTACCATTTCAGTTTCATTCAAGGATTTATTCATCATGAGACTGCTTTCCTTTAGTTGCTGTGCCAATGTAACCATTTCATCTGTTAAATCATTTTGAAGTTTTCTGCAAGAAAAAGTAAACTCATGAACAGTATACATACAATATCTATTCAACTGCTACATAATTTAGGATCCTTTCAAGATGAATGTACTCTTATTAGATTCTATATAAAAAAGAATGTTACAATATAGAGACAAAATGCATGAATAGAAAACAGCACATTTACTTGTAAGGAAATATGTAAACTTAAATGCTCAAGAAACCAGGTGCTTCAAAGAGTAAATATTCAAAGAGAAAGAACTTTGCAATGAACTCCCTTTTCCTTTAAAAAATTGAGCGTAATTTATCCATTCGGATAATATAATTGATTTTTTCCTTTAAAAAAACTCCTATTGAAAGACACTCTGTCATTATCAATAACACATCATGAGAACTGAAATTTGATAACTTAGACCATTATAGGCCCTAGATGCTGTCTATCATATGCTTAGAACTGCCATAATCCTCCATTTCTTGTAGGAGACAGCGATCCCTAAAATCCACGCTTTCACCCTGAATATTCTTAGAAAAAAATGGAGTTGGATGATATCATTTAAGTACAAGAATTAAATACCATTTAGCAGGTAAGGCGATCACACAGCTAAACATGAAACATATTTAAGTTCAAGACATGATTATTTTCCAAGCTAAGACCACAAGTTCCCATGCCATAAATGTTCCCCTATTCACCACGGTCCCACTTCATAAGTTTATGTCCTAGCAGAAAAGGAGATCTCCTCAAAGAGTTAATGTGTTCATTATACCCTTCATGACTCATTTAAGAATAACCAATTCGTGGGGGGTTGGAGTATCTCAGGAGGAACTATAACGAATCCCGGAGTTTGGAGTTATGAAGGTGTGGCAGGGGCATATATCTTGTTTACTGGCTTGTGCTTCTTGGCAACTATCTGACGTGGGTATATTGGAACCTAGAAATATTCTGTGATGAACTAACGGGAAAACCTTCTTTGGATTTGCCCAAGATCTTTGGAATTCATCTATTTCTCTCTGGAATCGCTTGCTTTGGCTTTGGTGCATTTCATGTAACAGGCTTATATGGTCCTGAAATATGGGTGTATTGATCCTTATGGACTAATTGGAAAAGTAGAATATGTAAATCCAATGTGGGGTGCAGAAGGTTTTGATCATTTTGTTCCGGGGGTGGGATAGCTTCTCATCATATTGCAGAGATCGAGGGAGAAAAAGTTGAACAAGAAATCAACAAAAGCATGCTTCTTTGCAAATGAATAAGAAAATCAAGATTATTAATTCTCAATGTTAAAACGGACCAGAAAAAAAAGGTAAGAATATACCTATGTTTCTCAATATGTGCATGTGCTTCTGCGTCCAATTTTACAGGTGCCCCGGTATCCCTCGCAGCCAACTCATGGTTTATATCAACTTTTGTTGCAGATCTATTAGTTGTAGAGCTAGTAAATCAGCTCATGCAAAAAGAAGAAAATGGACAGCATGGGCATAGAAGCTATCAATACAAAAATCATAAAAGGGACAAAGCATACTTAGTTCTCCTTCTCAATATATGAGTAGGATATACACTGCTTTCAGTATGATCTGATACAGGAACAATTTCCTCAAAAGAAGTTTCTTGAACAGCCTCCACAGATTCTGGCTAGCAAATTAATTCAAGTATTTCAATAATCTCACTTCATTGAAATTCGCAAACAAGTATATCTGAATGAACAGTAGTACTTGCAGTAATTCATAACATAATTAAACAAACAGAATTGAATAAAGACTTGATTCAGAAGAGAACCACTTTACAAGCCATCTAAAGTTCCAAATGTAAGGATTGGAACTCATTCACCTGCAAACTAAAACTTGCATAATTTTCCATCTTAGCAAGGAAGAGCTATAAATGAAGTTAAAAATACCTGTCACTCAAATGAGCGATAATCCAAAACTTGAGCTGATTAGTCATTGCTTCAATTTGGACAAATGAGATAGAAAAAAGTTTTAAAGGAGAACAAACGAACCATTTATGTTTAAATAGACAAAGTTCAGAAAATAAACAAATCGGTGCTTAGATCGACAAAATTAAAACTAGAAATTTAGCAATCTTTTATTAAAATAGCAACTTCAAATGAACCCTATTAACACTACTCAAAAGAAACCTTGAGAATAGGAATACTCCAGGGGTTAAGCCTTACTTCAGGAACAGATAATCTGGCAGCAAGGGCTTCAATCTTCTCTGAATATTCATTTAGTTTGGCCTTGGAAATGCTGAAACAGCCCAAAAAGAGAATCATTATGGGGATGAGATGTCAGTGGACTCAGGTCGATAGAACAATAATCACCAAAACTTTATACAGTGCTTTATTCCTTAACGCAGCAATAAACATAAAGGAAACTAAGCACAAGATTTGCGGTCAAAGTGCTTTTAGAGATAATATGATCATTCCTGGGTTAAAAGTAGCAACTGTGGACTCCTCAAAGCCACAATGTGTTCGGATGATGATTCTTTAGACTTATGAGGAGGGGAGATCGGATGAGCAGTCGTGTGCGTATGGGAGAGCCGAGAGCGAGTGAGTGCGAATGGAAGTAGTCCCGATAGCTTGCCTTCGGTTGGCTTTTAAAGGCGTTGGAGAGCATCGATCGAGGCGAGAAACAAGGTCGTCGTCGTAGGATTCACGCAGGGATCGCGGAGGAATGACTGGAGCGGCGCCGAACAGGTACGTTTCCAGGATTTCTTGCGGGATTTTGGGAGGATTTACGGGATTCAGGCATGTAAGTGGGATCTCTATTTTTTCTTTCTCTTTTGGTCTTTACATGGAGGTCAACATTAAACATGACGCTCCAATGTTCCATGAGCTTTGGAGTGAAAACAACCGAACAGTTCATTGACACCATCTGCCTTGGAGACAAAAACACAATTTATTAAATAATTAATTTGTGCCCTGATAAAAAAATTAAAGCTATTTTTTTAATTAATTTGTGCCCCAGTAAAAAATAAATTCTAGTTCAATCCCTACTCACAATTCATTGCATTTATCTATGCAATCCACAAACAACAAAAATTCCTGTCTTTTCCTGCTCATATCTTGATGAGATAAAGCAAAAGCTCTCATTCGTTGTTTAGAAGTAATTTGAGTAAATCCTGAAAGAGCCCCAATAAACTTTGAAACAAACAGAGAGATTTGTTTTTACTTATTCTATATGTATAACCTCATTTAGCTCTAATCACTAATCAAATGAAATTATCTTGAATATCTAATTGATTTCCCTCATTTCTACCATCCTTTCATCAGGTCAATTATCATCAATAAAATAGACACTTCATTTATTTGGTACCTCAAGGCTAGAAATTTCCATTCTAAACCTTCTTGGATGAACGTTAAAATTATAATTTTGAAAGGGAAAATTATAGTTGAAGCCATTAGAAGAGTCATGTGCTAGTAAGGTAAGAGTAATATCCGAGTCTACTAGCATTCAAAGTTTTGAATTGGGACACTTCTCTTGCGATTATGCATCTTGTCCAAAGCAATTCTGAGAATGACATAATAATGGCAGTTAGGAAGACAATTTTCAAGCAACAAATAAGAACTCCAAAGTCTACTAGGAGACTTGTATGAGCTGCTCAATGGATTCTTTATGATTTGATTGTCTGTAATTGGACATAAGGAGCCTTTGGATTTTTTTTTTTCTCATAATGGCCATAACTATTTTGGGACCTTTTCCTCCAAAATATCAAGAAGAAATCACCACCATCATTATAGTGAAAAAACTGCCAATTATTTCCCAAATATAATGCTATAATCACTTTGTAAGAAACATTAGGGCCTATTGATTGTTAAAATCCTATAATAATGATAAGCAAGATATGCAATTAAAAGTAATACTCAATTTATAAGAATATTACACCTTACCTAGATATTCCACCCGCTGCAGCCTCTGCTCCTATTTGCTCCAATAGCTCACGTGATGTGGTAACATACTGCAACGTTGAACAAACAATTTATTACAAACCTTTTAAAATATCAAATTTTACAAAGGAAGGGATTCACAGAATTCTGCTTCATCAAATGGTAAACTATGGTTTCATTTGGGACGGCTTTCTTTCTACTTCTTAAAGCAGCTTTTTAATATAAAAATTAAAATTTTGTACTTAAAAGCTGCTTTAAAAAGCAGAAAGAAAGCCGTCCCAAACGAAGACTAAATTATTCAATCTATTGTTTTACACTATTACCTATCATATAATATAGCTAATTAGCTATTCAAGAAAACGAAATCAATTTGCATCATAATGTCTAACTTCGGGGTTGTTTGGAAGCAAAACTTAGCTAGAGTTTAGGATAAATCTTGTTGAATAATTTTTTGAGCCACATAGATCTTAAAACCTTCTTAAAACTCATTTTTCTCCCATTTTATGCTAAATTTTACATTTAGAAAATCCTTGGGTAGGCAATATTTAAGAGACTTGCGCAACCCGCAACCTCTCGTCACTATCTCAATTATTCTCATTCATTCAAATATTAATATTAATAATATATGTCAAACATTATACAAGAATTTAATCAAATTTAACATTTATCATGTCAAACAATTTTCAAAATTTAATGCCAACTAGATTTACTAAATATGAATATACAAGAGTTACTAAATCATACTTGAATTACATCTTAATTGTAGACAAACAGCCCATAAAATCACTCATAAACACTTCCTTCAGCATCCACATAACCAATTCACTATTGAATTCTCATTCTCGAAAGAGAACATAACATTCCTGTGGGAAGAACCCACAACATTCAAGATATACAACAGAGAATAGAAAATACATTTTTTTTCACCATAACAAACAAAGAAATTAAAAAAAAAAAAACTCAAGGAGGATTTCAAACCATCAAGCATTCCAAGACCATTTCATTCATAAATAAAACATGCCGCGGCAAATCAACATCTGAAAACCATTATATAGTACCATAAAAACCGCAAAAAATTTCACTCACATGGACAAGCTTCGCTTGATTCTGCTGATGGGGAGCAGCTGCAAGCAGCCTCCTCAGATTCACTTCCTTCTTGCTCAGTCCCATCTAGAAACCAGACAACAATGGATCAAAGAATTCACAATAAAAAGCTATTCCTAAATAATTTCTTGCGCGCCTTCTGTTTCTCACCCTCGCACGTTGGTCTTCTCTCTCGCTTCCGCCCGCTACTCTGCCCCAGTCCCAAAATCATGATTAAAATTTGTTTTCGTCCCCAAATGCAAAATTATCATTTTGGAAGCACTTAGGGCTATTTTGTAGCAGCATTGAAGGCAAGATTTAAGGGGTATTTAACTTACACCTTGCCAAACAGTAAAAATGACAAATTTATATCCCCCGGAAACTAAAATTCCGATACACTCCCGTTCTACAGTAAATCCAGGACAAAGAGCGGAGAAAGACGTACCTGCGGCGTTCCCCTTCCCTCAAGAAGGAGAAGCTGCTCCGCACCGACAGTCGCCCCTCCGGTGCCTTCCCCGCCGACCTCCCGTCGCTACTCCCTCACCTCTCCCTCGCCGTCAAGGGTTTCGAGAATTTATTAAAATTTTAATAATTTTTTTTAATTCGCGTTATCTATTCAAATAATAAAAATTGTTGTTAATGTCTTGAAATTATGAAATTAAGCTATGTATATAAAATATATAATATTTAAAAATAAATTAAAATTGATAAATAATTAATTAAAATTTTAGATACTTTAATTAATAAATATAGTTATAATATTTGTATAATTAAAATATGATAAATAAATAAATATTTGGTTGATGAACCTGTGACGATCAAACCGCTCAATCAATAAAATCAGGAGCATTTTAATCGGCTCGACTAAAAATTGTGATAGAGATATCATGTTAGAATATACTATTTTTCATATTTATTTCATGTAATGTCCTATTATAAATAAAAACATTATATCATTTAAATAATTTAATTGATTTTAATAATATTTATATTATATCAATTGAATTCTATTTGAATCCCAATTGAACATTCAAATCTTGAATATTTCATAATATTGTTACTCATATTTTTGAGTAGCATTTATAGGCTTAATTTGAGAAAAAAATTTATTATTTTTTAAAGCAATTTTCCAGTAAATTTTTTTTTAGTTCAAGACATTTTTTAACTAAAAAACTGCTTTAAAAATAATAAAAAACCCTCCCAAACAAAATCATAATCTTGAACGACCGTAGATTTTATGATTTTATGAAAAAGTTCTGGATTTTGATATTGTAATCAAATTTTGAATACAAAGTATCTCAAGATTATTAAATTTATTTTAAGATGTATTAACTTCAAAATCCTTACTAATAAAAAACTTCATGAGAATATCATGAGATATATTGCCACTCAGGATAATGATCTGGACAAGGAAATAACTCCATTACATTTTTCCTTGCAAAGAACTGCTTCATTTTTGTATTTTCATGAGGGTGAAACATGCAATGCTTTATGGCGCAGAATGTTGGTCATTAAAAGATAAGTATAAAAGTAAGTTAAGTGTTGCAAATATGAGTATGCTCAGGTTGAAGAGTGGTTTTACAATTAGAGATAGAATGCGAAAAAAGTATATACATGAAAAGCTTGAAGTAGCTCCAATGGCAAATAAGATTACAGAGAGTCTACTTAGATGGTTTGGTCACATAAAATGTCAACCTTTCGATGACTTTGTTAGAAAAATAGATGTATATAATAAGCAGGGTAGAGATAGACTTAAAAAGACTTAGTTAAAAAGTTACTAAAATAACACTTTTTATTAGATTTAAATAACAATTTGATTCTTAATAGGACAAAATTCATACAAATAACTCCACATAATGTATAACACCAAAGGAACTCTTGCTACGCACCTCTTCTTTCTTTTAGAGTTAGAGGAAGACAAGTGAAACTTATGGCTAGAACTAGATTCCTTATACTTGACCATTACCATAGGAGTTTTTGAGATTGGTGCGCTTTCCCATTCGATTAGAATAGGTAGGGATGAAAAGAAAGAGGATCAAAGATTTCATTGAATTTAGTGAAGTCCTAGGGGTTCTGCTGGAAAAGTCAGACTGAAAACTATCAGATTACGAAAATCTTCTCTCAGACATTCTTTTAGACCTAAAGGCTTGTTGTCGTTATTCTGTATTTTCATAAGTTTTACCTACTTCCCAACTTCATTTATATATTTTTTAATTTCAATGCTCTCTTGAATCTTATTGCCTTGTAGCACTAGCTGCGTCTGCTTGTTCTTAGTTTGAATTTAGTCCAACGGTCCATAATTTTGAACTGTTCTATGTTCTTAGTTCTCTTGAATCTTATTGCCTTGTAGCGCAGTAAAATTCTATTGTATTATTAACTGCATTACATTAAATGCTACTGCTATATATATATATATTATATATTCAGAAATACTGAATACTTCGTTATACATGAAAGGTTGAGATTGTAAAGGATAAGTACATGAACAGTGATGTTGGAAGAATCCGAAAAGTGTGACCTGCAGTATGGATATGGAGCTGAGCACTTAACATAGCAACTTTTTTGAAAGGTTATCAACTTACACTTATCATTTATCACCGCACCTCAAGTTAACAATGGATTCTTGAACTATTAACTTGTTCCTAAGCTGAGTCGACTGAGTGGAGTGGTTTGGTGAAAATATCTACAATTTTCTTTGGGAGGCTATATGATGCAATCTTGAATGAAATAAAAATCAATCTCAAGATGTTTTGCGTGAGCATGAAAGATCGGGTTATTAGCTAAGGCAACAGCTGAGATGTTGCTATAAAATAGTGTAGGTTGTGTTACAGAAATTTTAGAAACAGCGAGCAAACATCTTAACTACATAATATCACTTGCAGCTGCAGCTAAGGCTCTATATTCAACATTAGTAGAAGATCGAGCAACAATAATTTACTTCACATGCGAGGACACCAATTTCTGACCAAGATAAACACAAAAACCTGATAGAGCGACGATCTGTTTTATCAGCAGCCCAATTGAAATCTGAATAAGCTTTCAATTCGAGTGTGGCACTGATGATGGGATGTTCGTAGGATATTGTACCACGCAAATAACGAAAAACACATTTCAGCTGCCAGAAATGAATAGGAAATGTAGATTTTGTAGAAGTTGTTCGATGGCTGCGGAGTCATTGCCAGTAAGCAAGATGTCGTCTTCATAAACCAAAATGTATTCAAAAATACTGATAGTTAGTCATACATCAAATGCTGAGATTGCAAATGTTAGGAAAACATGAACGAACGGTAATACTGGAAGAATCTAAAAAGTATGACCTGCAGTATGGGTATGGAGCTGAGTACTTTATGTAAAAACCTATTTGAAAGGTTATCAACTTGCGCTTATCACTTATCAGGGATTACATTTACACATCAACCATAAGAACAGATACTTCCTAGAAGGTAAACCTAAGCCACAAAATATCAGTCTAAATGGCAATAACATGGAAGCGACTAAATGCGTCAGATCTCTAGCAGGTGTTTATCACAGACAAAAAAAAGATAGTTTGTGGCAATTTTTTATTTTTGGGACTGTTTGGGTTTTACTTGGAATTCCTCCAGGTGAAGTCCTGACCAACTAGAAGACTAGTATTTTACTGTTGTTTAACTTACTAATTGCTTAAGAGTTGTACGAAAAATATCACACTTTATTCTAGAAATCCAAGCATTATTTATTATTTAGGCTTCATTTAGGATGACTTTCTTGTTGCTTCTTAAAGTAGTTTTCTAGTATAAGAATTTTAATTTGGGAATTTTACATACATACCACTTTATTTTATGATATTTACATATCTAACACCCAAAATATTAATATTACATGCTTATCACCCATAAACAATTTTAATATCAAATATGCCACTCCTATAATTCATTTATATCATTCATACAATCCTATAAACTTTAATATTTCATTCCATGCACCCAAATTTGTTCTATGGGTGGTAATCATATAATATTAATGTTTTGGGTGTTAGATGTGTAAATAGCATAAAATAAAGTGGTATGTATGTAAAACCCCCTTTTAATTTTTGTGCTAAAAAGCTATTTTAAGAAGCAAGCAAAAAATCATCCCAAACGAAGCCTTAGGTTTCGTTTGGGACAGCTGACTTCTTGCTTCTTAAAGCAGTTTTTTAGTACAAAAATTTTAAATTTTGTACTTGAAAGCTGCTTTAAGAAGCAAGAAAAAAGCCGTCCCAAACGAAGCCTTAGTCTATAGAAAGTTGTTTTTCTTGTTGTGGATAGATCCATAACTTTTTAATTAGCTTAATCATTCGTAATAACTTTCTTTGAAGTGTTGTATATTACAAACGTGTGGTTAACAAAAAGAAATTAAGAGTAGTTCAGACCGTATTGTATCCATCAAAGAGCAAATTCCATGATTTGAGAAAACAGTAGCTAATCTTAGAGCAATAAACATTTTTGAATAAATGAGCATGCCAAACTAGAAACAGCTACATTATTTCAATCGAAAATGAAAAAGTACAAGGCAATCATTAAAGCAGACAATGAGTTGCCTAAATGTGCAAAATTTCCAGCAATTAAAACCTCACGTTCTCAGAAAAATGGGCCAATAGCTTAACTAATTTTACTGAAACAATAAAAGATAGAATGGACATAAGGATTAAAAAAGTCTTACAGCTACTAACCCAAACTATATGCTCTGGAAAACTTTCTTGGCAGCCTCAATTGTTTGTTCAATATCAAGAGAAGTATGTGCGATGCTTGTGAATCCTGCTTCAAACTGGGAAGGTGCAAGATACACACCTTCTTCTAGCATTCCCCTGTGAAATCTTGCAAATTTTGCAGTGTCACTTTTCTTTGCATCCTCATAGCTATTTACAGGTCCTTCTGTGAAGAAGAACCCAAACATTCCTCGTATGTAGCCGCCAAAGAGTTCATGTCCTGCCTGCTTTCCAGCTTCTAGAATTCCGGAAACTAGTTTTCCAGTGATCTTATCCAAGTACTCATAACACTCAGATTCTTGCAACCTTTTAAGAGTGTGAATTCCAGCAGTCATTGCTAAAGGATTCCCGCTTAATGTTCCAGCCTGATACATAGGACCTGAAGGAGCCACCATCTCCATAATTTCTCTCTTCCCTCCATAAGCACCGACAGGTAGGCCGCCACCGATGATCTTCCCAAGAGTAGTTAAATCAGGGGTTATGTCAAAGTACTCCTGAGCTCCACCATACGAAAGTCGGAACCCAGTCATAACTTCATCAAAGATAAGGAGAGAACTTTCTTCCTTGGTAATATGGCGCAGGGCATTCAGGAAATCAGGCTTTGGTACAATGAATCCAGCATTTCCAACAACCGGTTCAATTATCACAGCAGCAATCTCACCTTTATGGTTCTCAAAAAGAGTCTTCACAGTTTCTATGTCATTGTATGGCGCTGTAAGAGTATCTGCAGTAGCTGCCTTGGGGACGCCAGGGGAATCAGGGAGGCCAAGAGTGGCAACTCCGCTGCCTGCTTTAACAAGGAAAGAGTCGGCATGGCCGTGATAGCAGCCCTCAAATTTTATGATTTTTGAACGTCCAGTAAAAGCACGGGCAAGGCGTAGAGCACCCATGCATGCTTCTGTGCCTGAGTTGACAAACCGAACCATCTCGACGCTGGGAACAGCTGAGATGACCATCTCAGCCAACGTATTCTCTAAGACACATGGAGCACCAAAACTAGTGCCTTTTCTAACAGCTTCAATTAAAGCAGCATTAACCTGTATCAAGGATATTAAAGAAAACCATTCTAGTTATTGTAGTGTGATTATGACAATTGTATACTTCTTTACCGTTGGAGAGCATCAAATCTGGTTTGTAACAACAGCTATTGGAAGTTAAAGGACTTGGATAAATTTTTGGTGAAAGATAAAACATAATGACCAAAATTTTTGGTGAAAGATAAAACATAATGACCAAATTGTATAGTTATTAGTACATCAGCAAGTGAAAGGAAAAATAATCTTTGATGACAACTTGAATGTTAAGAAGTTTAAGAACCTAGAATCATGTAAATCTTATGGATATTCATAGAAATTCTATGTCAATAACAGTATAAAATATAAAAATAAGCAAATCAAACATCGAACCAATCTTTGTAAGCAAGGAATATTTTTTTCAAAATTGCAACTTGGTAATCAACATCTGGCATTGAATCTCTTGCAAAAGTAAAAAAGTATAGAATAGGAAAATGTGACGTGAGTCACCTTGTCATCTGCATGGCCAATGATAGCTGGCCCCCATGACAGTACATAATCAATATACTCATTGCCATCAACATCCCAGACTCGAGAGCCCTTAGCAGAATCAAAAACAATGGGCTGCCCACCAACAGATTTAAAAGCACGTACAGGTGAATTCACGCCTCCAGGAATCAAGTCCTATAACCATATTGTCATCAGTAATCCATAATTAATCCATAAAGCATAAGCCATTTAGTTACATTTTCACAAAAAGACTACAAGGAGCTTACGGTAAGGCGTACATACAAAGATAAATGTCTGTTGTGCCTAAAGTTGGATGTCGAAAAGCAAGCCAAATCCACATGGCTGATCACAAAAAAGATTTGCCTTCCTTTTTGCTGTTTTTTTTTATTTCCTTTTTTATTTTATTTTATTGATCCAGCTTGCTTCTCAGCTTCCAAATTTCGGCAAAGTATAGCATGCCTTATACACCTAAAACAACTTAGAAGGAAACCTCATACGAGACAGAAGGTATAAGTAGGAAGGTTCTTGCAACCTTTAAGAATAAAGGAAACTTCCAAAAGGAACTATTCATCAACTGATATAACCTTCAGTTGTAAGGATAAGCAAGTTAACCATTACATAGAACAAACAGGTATCAGCGCTTGAAGTGCATAGATTCTCCTTAGGGAGCCAAACAGCTTGGTGTTAAACCACATGAGCCTGATAAGCTTGCAAAGGAATAGCAATACATAGCAGCAAACGGCCACAAACATGAAACCTGGCTCCTATACATGCAGGTTTCTCCAAAGGTTTTGCTTCACCCTTCAAAGATAAGTGCAAATGAATACAAAAAATCTATTAAAGTGCTAATGAGGGAAAAAGTGCTTTCCACCGGTAAGGCAATATCTATAAAGGTATATTTGCTTTGCAGGAATTGGAGGGAGTGAAAATGTATTTTACTTCATGATCTTATACTGTAATTCTGTTCCAATGAAATCAATAGGTAATCAGAATATACTAGAGAAATTTGAACAAATATATTTTTTATTGACAATTCCCTGCCCATACTAAGTAAAAAATGGGGAAAATTTTAATCCAATCATCATTGCGGTTAACAGATCCTCTTTGCATGAGAAACAAAAACTCAATTTCTTATCAACCAATATGAAAGAGAATAAATTTTTTCACTTAATTTCTTGTAAACCAAATAATCGGTGAAAATTAATTTCAACTCAATGCCTTTACCATTTCCATCTCCATTTTCAATTCCTTCAAAACTCACATAGAAAAATACAACACAGCCGTACTAAATAAAAATCTATCCTAATTTCAACAAATATTCCATCTCCGAACCTCAAAAGAAAAAGTATAACGCACATAAATAAACCCTAAAACTATTCTGAATCAGTATTTCAAGTCTCAATCCGACGACCATACTTAAGCAATTCGACGAAAGGCAGTAACTTTCAAGCAATTAAGACCGAACAGAAAACAAGAGCTAATCCTAATTCGAATAACTACTCGTTTACTTGCATAGCATTGGATGCATTAATACCTTGGCAGCGACAAATATCTCTTCGGACTTCTGTAGATTCAATCTCTTCCTCTCAACAGAGACGGCGCTTTTAACCACGGTGGAGAAGCGGCGAGGCAGCGGAGCAGAGGGCTTCGAGGATGGAGGTATAGAGACACTCGAACTCCAGCAGAGAGCAGCAGCCGAGACGCTCGCCATTTCTCTCTCTAGCTCGCACGCTCGCTAGTCGCTACCGTCAAAGGATAGAAGAAGCTTGTTTGAAGATAATAGATACATTGAAGATGGGAAATATTTGTGTTGCTTGAATACCTTAGTGGAAGGGGATTTACTATTAAAATTTATATATTTAATAATTAAATTTAACTATTGATACATCAAAAAAATAATCTTGATTGTGCACAAATCTTGAGGCATATTTTGTCAACTGTCAAAATTAAATTTGGGATGGTCCCAAATTTCAACAAACTTAATAGTCAAATTGAACATTTCAAAGAGACGAGTCCAACGAAATTAAAATTGGTCCATGCTGAGCCCAAATGGGTCTAAATTGGGAGACTGAAACACATTTGAAAGGTTCGACGCATTAGTTGGATGTGCAATGAACTCAAAATATGGCATGTTTATAGTTGAATCGAGCGACTCAACGAGCGGCTTGATGAGACAAATCCAACTATTCCAAGATCACTTGATTCCGACATTATTAATGCACTTAAATGTTTGAAAAATACTACATGATCGAGGGAATCAATATAGGTTGTCCAATGAGCAATTCGATCTTGCCATAGATCTTCCCCATATTTATAGGGTTTGTCATTCACAAAGATCTATAAATAGGCCTCTACTCCCTTCACGAGAGGGACTTTTGATTGGAGATGAGAGAGAGCTTTGAGGCTTTAATGATCTAGAGTTCCACCCAAACTCCACCGCAGATGAACTTTTATCAGGCGACCGGACCACTGCCCAGGCTCTTGACCACAGTTGGACCTTAGCCTAGCCACCGACTGCCGCCAAACTACCTCCAGACAACCAACTAACGTTGGACCTCCTTCTGACCACCAACAGTTGCCGGACTTTCGCCCGGCCATCGTTGATCCATCTCCCGGCAGCCAACCGTCATTGAACTTCCACTCAGCCGTCAAACTTCCACCTGGACGTCAATCAGCGTTGGACCACCGCCTAGATGCCAACCGTCGATCACAGCTAGACTTCCTCCCAATCGTTGTTAGACTTTCGCCCGATTTCTATTATTATAAATTCCTTAGTATCTTTACACAGTTTGATCGATTCTCTAAACTATTATAATTACTCTGCCTCTAAGTTAATGGGGTGGTCAACCTTTGTAATTCACTCAAATTTAGTAGAATCTTCTCATCTAAACTACGCCCCGTAATTTTTCCCTTATTTGGGTTTTCATGTAAAAAAATTTCTTATATTCTTTTGCTCTCTCCAACTATCTGTTTATGTGCTAATATTCATGCATTACTGGAACGATAAATTCTCTCACTCTACAATCGTAAATATATTAGCCCGCAACAACTATATACATGACATTTAAAATATTAAAATAAAAAAATAACACCTCTTATTAGTATCCCTTCGCTGGTCACCAAATAACTGATTTGTCATTGGTCACTAGCAGTTGCCCTCACTCTCCCTCGCTCGTATTAAACTCTCTTTATTTAATTTAAATGTTAAATATATATATAACCTAATATTTTAATATTATTTTAAAGTATATAATAGTTTTAACCTATTTAAATATCTTATATTTTTAATTAATTTTTTCTATTTTAATTATTTGCCTTAACATTATTGGTGCAAAAATAAATCAGAAGCACTTGAAGTAATTTTCTTTTTTTTTTTTTGTCTGAAAAGGCAGCCTATTATA